TCTGTGACCAGACTCCGATGTAAAGAACTTGATCAATACCAGTCAACATTGCTAGTTAATGTTTGCTGTTTTAGCAGGCTGGAACTCTGTGAAATGCACGTAGACAAGACAAGTTTTGTACGCAGTACGTTGATTGACCAATGCCCTTAAAGTGTACACAACTGTGAAAGATGTTAACCTTGCACTTTACAAAATTGGTGAGCTATTAAAGTTGGAGACAACATGAGGACCTTCTACTATACGTGGCACAAAGATAGTCCAGTCACTGTGAAGAAACACCTCCAAAATAAACTGCCGATCTTGTTTGAGGTTTTTTTCCAATTGTTTTAGGACATGGAAGTGTTTTTGAGCACTATCACGCAGTAGGCCTAATTACCGATCATTATTGTGGTCAACGTCATCAATATTTCATCTGCACCCTTTGAGAGTCCACTTTCCTAATATAGCTAACTTAACCGCCATTCATCATTCATGAGAAATGGTAGTCAGGAAATAATTGGAGTGTCAGTGACCCAGCTAAGAACTATTTTTTTCCCAGGGAAGTAACATTGGTTTCAGTGTTGTAGTCGAGACCTTCACAAGACCATGTGCAAGACCATGCACAAGACCATGCACAAGTAACAGGTTGAACAATGACAAAGGAATGCTTTTGTTGCAGTTCATTTGAATAGCTTGTGACTTGAATGCATACTGGAGGTCTTGTGCTGGTCTCGTGTGGTTTTGTGAAGGTCTTAAGTGGTCTCGACTACAACACTGATTGGTTTCAGTCGATAAGAAAAAGTGGCATTAAGTCTCCAGTTTACAGTCAAAGCTCAGTGCAGAGGCAAAATATGCAACGCAACTACAATCTTCTCCTATTCTCAGTGAGCCCTTACGGTATTTCAAAACAGCAACGTCATTTGAACAAACCACGGACGTGACTTGGAGTCTGCGCTGGGCTGGGCCAAACCGATAGAGCAGACGTAGCACGCACGTCCGAGTGATCAGTCCCATTGATCCCCATTTTAAAGACAAGCTGCACCACAAACCAACCTCGTTCCCATGGATACGATCTTGCCGCGTCATGTTGGTTCCCACCATGCTTGCCTTGCGGGATCTAACGAAGGAACGCGCAAGCAGCCCATGGAGTCGAGGTTGGCCGCAGACATATAAACTCAACTCTTCTTTTTTGGGCATGCACTGTTAGAATACTGAATTGGCTCATTCAAAACACTTCTGACCCATTCCAATACCTCAATACTTGAAAATGAGAAGCGAAATATTTAAAGCCAGTAAACTCTGGGAGGAAATGAAACGATGTACACGTTCAGATTTTTAAATGAAGTTGACACTGTAGTATTTTTTCTAAACAATAAGATACATAACACCTTTTTCAAGTTTCACTGCAGCAGCTAAACCCGAAGGACGCAAATTCAGAATACTCCGGGCCCTTGACAAGCTCTTTCATCCCCATTTTACTGATAGGGTCAAAGGGAATTCTAACTCACTTATAAGCCAACCTGTCAACCTCGAAACAACAGTAAGATTGACTATAACATCCCAAACACCCATATTCAAGATCGATGGAATGAGCACATCATGTAGATGTATAAACTAACTAAAAACATCCAGCATCTCACAGTTCCATACAACTTTTATAGCAATGAAACTTCCGTCAAACTACTTAGTCAAACAGCAACTTGTCTTTCAAAAAGCTGATGTATATTTCATTTTGAGCAGCTCCATTAATTGAAGGCGCCCCAATGCTAGATTTTTATCAGTAATTCGGATATAATGGGCCAAGTTTCTCTCTAGATCGAGTAGGACCCGTTATACAGGGATTTCACATTAGCGCTGTCTGCGCATATCCGCATCGAAACCGAGGCTCTCTGTGCGCCCTCGGACTTGACACAGTACATGCAGTATACATGCAGAAACACGACCATCACAGGGTACGTTAACCCGCGGTAAATTGCTGATATTTTTTCTTTTGATGTTAATTTCCTTTGGTCTGGCTGCATGCACATAACTAAAAATTAATTCAGCCAGAATCGGTCAGGATTTCATGGTGACGAAATTGTTTGCAAAGGTTCAGCGTATGTATCATGAAAGAATAGGTAGGTCTACCAGTATTTAACTGGATGAATTCTAGGTTTTTCAGCAAAAAGGAAAGGCAAGTAGTACGAGGAAAGTCAAAGTCGAGATTTTCTACGTTTCCTCAGGCCGGGGAGTAACGTTATAGCAATGGACCTCAGATCACATCAACTCTCAAGCTGCATATCAAGTCATCCTGAAAGACTCTTCCACCAAAATTTGCGGCCTGAAAAGTCTGAATTTAACATGTATTTTGTGTCTTGACTCCTTACTTTCAATCGTCTGATCTTAATACGACTGAGAATCGTGAGCAGTAGGCACAGCGTCCGTTTGTGGCAGACAGTGCAATATGCATCGTGTATATCTCGCCGTGCCGCTGTCGAAGTGCGTGTGAAGCATATACATACAGCCTCGTTTTCAAACGCGGAAGTACGCAGATCGATGTCAAACGCGTCGTATTGGGATCCCTCTAGACAAGCTTTAATAGATTGTCACTGGTGCATGACGCATTTATGTAAGCCCCACGTTGGTTAAGGAACATACAGAATCGAACCAGTATGCAACATTCCATTATATATGTCCTCCCCCTGTCAGTGAACTTTCTCACATCTAAGTAGAAGCTGGTTCGTAGCTTTTATGTCACATACCAGACTGAATCCTCAAACAAAATAACTTTCTATAACGCCACTTCGAGTGGGCCACATTGAGGTCAATAGCCTTACCGAAATTGCTAATCAGCTGCTTGCAGAAGTACTCCGGCGTAAATTCAATGTTGTACACACATTCGACTCTACTTTCTGCACAGTTTCAGCCCTTCTTTTCATGACACTTTCCGTCCGTTTTATAACATAAACCGGCTGTTCATGGATAATCGAGCACTCATGAACGTGGCTGGCGTCCATGTCTGCACACCGCAGAATTTTTGAGAGGAATGACTCTGACTTCGTCTTGAGCACACAAACAATGCATGCTATGTCTGTTCGAGCTAACCTTGTTACGAGTTTTAATGACTATTGCCTAATTGGAAGGCTCACGCCTGGGCTCAGGCCTATATTTTGTAAAGTACATGACATTTGTATGTAAAGCGAAGTTTCTTAAAATGATTTAACCTAACTATGCGGAACCCGACAAGATTCCATGAGTTATACAGTATATATATATATATATATATATATATATATATATATATATATATATATATATATATATATATATATATATATATATATATATATATATATATATATATATATATATATATATATATATATATATATATATATATATATATATATATATATATATATATATATATATATATATATATATATATATATACGGTAACATGTAGTACTCCCCAGGGTCTCTTTAATACAATATTCCCCATGAGGCCACAAACACGACAACAAAGAATCAATGTTTCAACATTACAAATAAACCAGTTGCTAGCCATAATTTTAACTGTCAAATTCTCAGGAGATTTCCTCGTAAAAGCACTTCTTACCAATGTTCTCTAAGGAAAGCTCCTTTTGCGGTTCCAGGTTCCATGTATTATAAAATGCCCCTTTGGGATGCTTCTCCAGTCTTTTCCCTGATCTTTGTTCACCAATGTGATTGATTTGAATAGAAACTCTAAGGTGCTAAAATGGACCATGAAGTATTTTCGTCTAACAAACAAAACAACCAGGAAAAAACGGGCGGGGGGATGAGTCTACGTATTTGAAACAGCGTCGAATGAAGATTTGGGAAAGCTGTTGATTTCCCCTTTAAAGCAATCGCGATGGAAAAAAACGGCTTTGCCGGATTATCGTCAACAACGTATGAAAGCAATGCGGTTGAAAAACTGACCCACCACATTTGGTCAGGTATGCCTTTTACACCGAAACGTGTTGGCTCTACAATCCAGAATTTGAGCGCGGTGACAAAGCTTTTCAAACCACTTTGGGCAATATTTACTCAACCTTAACCTTTTGATCGTCGTCAAGCATTAATCAGTGCTAAAGCTGCGAAAAATTGACAATGAAATCACAAATACACAAACTCCGAGGCGAGGGTTTTTTTAACGAGGGTCGAGTATGCTGTGCACTGGATTTAATGGGCAGAGGTTAAACATTATACGTTTTATTTTTGTTTTGACGATCTCATTCATCCTCAGCAATACTCCTTCATAAAACACCAGTTGCGCCTCAAGCATGAAACTGATATTCTCTGTCTTCTTGCACAAAACCGTCGAAAGTTGAGCGAAACTGTCAAAAGTTGAGCGGTCTTGTTTCCCGTCATTATAACATCGAACGATCCAACGTGAAAAGCGAGTGCAGAAAACTAAAAGATAAATCCTCCCTTCATTTTTAGCATTGGGGGATTTTTTTTTTTTGAGAAGTGAAGCATATTACTAGTCAAATTCATGCGCTCTTTTTTCAGGGACTAATAAATATATACTGCAGCCATTCATCAACAATACCCACGCCAAGAATGTATCGACTCTCGGTCAAGTTTCAAGTACACGACATGCCCGACCAGGGCCAATAAGTTAATTAAAACAAACGTCAAGGCATTACTTAAAGATTGAAGTTGCTGTATACGACCACCCTTCAACTACAATTTCTAATTTGAAGCAAAATGTATATATACACACGTCTATGTACACGCAAACAGTAATAGCTCGCCAGTTTTACACGGTAAATATCCGACCTCCCTTCACTTGCAATGCGGATATCTTTCACATTGAGCGGGTAATTCTTTGGTTAAGGCACATGAAATTTCTTCCTCACATTTCGGTGCCCTGGGGCACTGTAAATAGCGTGGCAAACGTTATCTTTTACAGTACAAGCCCCGACAACAGCGCATGCGGCTGAGCATTTGACAAGTTCACCTGACGATGAAAAAGAGATCACAAATTTTAAAGAAGTCTTACAGAGAGTCCTTACCTGCTTGGAGGACTCTGTTCTTAACTTGGAAGTGAAAGTCCTCCACTGGAACCCAGACGGGTAGCTTCAATAGAGAAATGTCTGTTAAAAAGTTTGTCGCTGAGTGGACGATGCACATAGGAGACGAGAGCAGTCGATGTGCTCGATGTCTGTGAGAAAGACCCTACATGTAGCCCACTCATCCAAACCTGATACCACTCACCATAGAACAAGCAAGGTGAAGACTGACGGGTAAAGCCACCGGTACATTGTAGTACAACTATGCACTTTATTGTTGGAGTGCAGGGGGAGGGGCCTCTGTGCTCCAACAACTTCGAACTTTGCAAACTTTTCACCAGGCTGTTTGCATTTTGGGTCTGCTCTTAAAAACTTGTCCCCGTTGGGCGGATTTAGAGCAGGTAAACGTGCTTGCGAACTTGTCCCACTCTTTCAATTGCCAGTGCGTTCCGCGTGATAAAATCTACAAACAAGAATTCATTGTGAGCTTGGTCATCGGTGTCACACTGAAAGGTCGCAATCCTTGATTTAAAATGATTTCCTTCGATTGATTGGACTTATTTTAAAGCTTTATTTGAAATACGAGGCTACATTCAAATTTACGAAGCCAACGTAAATGATATAAATTGCTGATGTAGCTCATGTGTAAATCGCTGGAGGCGCTGACAAGATTCTGAGCATTCCACAATGGCCAACCATCCATTGAATTCAACTTAACATATATCAAAGATTTTTATGTGCTAACTAAAAATAAACTACATGTTCAGCGAGAATACAGGTTGGGTGAGAATGCTTTTCTTTTATTCCCGGTAGGCTATGTCTTATAAACACCGTTTCACGATTACTATTTTCTATGCTTGAAATAGTTTTCATATCTAGCACTACTGCAACAACTTTCGTTGATTTTTAAATCAGTATCTAACTTGAAGGTTTTAAATAATTACTATACATCGAGACACACCTCTAAAAATAAGAAACAAGCGAGATCTTGTTCGAGCACAAAAGGAAATGTAACCTGGACTCATATCCAGGTCTTTCGAGCTTAAGGCACAACATGAATAATGTTTTACACAAAAGCACACAACATCATGCCTAGATTCAAACTACAATAGCACAATCAAAATTTGGATCTTCACTATTAAACAGAAACCACAGAAACGATGGCATTAAAACCGACACATCACTTATAAAGTGAACATGGGTTGGAAAGAAAGTTAGTAACTTTGCCCTCTTAACAACAGGGTGTACTTCAAATACACTGCCGCACGTCACCTGCCTAACTCTCCAAACAGAATTCCGTAGATTAAAGATATACAATCATCGTGAATTTTGAATTTCCACTGTACTGTTGCTTTTATAGTCAAATAATGCCAAATTATTTAAACTAAACTACAGTTGCACCACACTTTGTTCAATCATGACAAGTATAAATGTTTAAAAATCACATTGACCCATCTTTTTGACATTCTTTTTATTTCTTGTTTTGTGGTTTCAGTTTTATATCTGTTTAAATTAAGTCAATTGGGGTATAAAAAACTGTGTGAATACGGGCGACTCATACGCGTTTAAGGGTCGACAGATTTCGCAACCTGTGATTGGTCGACGCGTTGCAAACTCTTGGAGGCGCACTAACCTGGATCGACTGTATTGTTGGCGCCTGAGTTGCCAATAGTGTTGTATTTTTTTTCTGACTATCACTTTGAAAAATTTGGATTTGTCGAAACTTATAGGGCATGTAACATGATTGTTATTTTCTTATCAACAGGGGTCGGAAGAGGTACCAAAATGAATTTAGTTCTGTCCTCACAAACTTCCCTGAGCCTAATCCTGATCTAAATTTCAGTCATATTTATAAACAGGTCCGAATTCGACAAAAACTCACAGAGACTGGACCCGTAATGTTAGGCCTCTAAACCTCTTTACGAAGTGACAGCAAGATTGTGCTGAACAGCCGAACACGTGAAAATATCTCTTTTAAAGAATACAATTTTCTATATCGTTTGCATGTTCGCTAACTGTATGGCCGGATGGTGGTGATTCAACGCAAAGAGCTGAAATTATAGATCAACAGACAAGATAGCTATGTAAAAATGAAACAATTGTAATTTGCCTCTTGTCTAAAACGAGTGATTTTACCAACAACAATCTTGCGTCATTCCATGCTGATTTTCATCACATCTTTAAAAAATTACAGCGCTGCATGCCACTGAAAACAGAATTGAGCTCACCGTGACCGTGGGCAAAACTTAATCAGGCCATCACCTTTCACCATTTCTGGAGGGGGTCAGTTAATTATTCTCAAGTGTCGGACAACGCCTGCCCCACGGTCTGCGGTTGCGGTCGCTCTGATGGTGGCGATGAAGTTGACGACTGTGATGTAAATGCACACATCGATGTCACTAATTTACTGATCTTGCCGCTCCACAGCGCCCTCACTTGGCCATTGAGGGCGAACGACAGAAACACGAAGAAACCTTGCAGGGAGGTGAAGATGGTGAAAGCGTACCAGAAGAGTCGAAGCTCGGTTGCCATGGCAATGAATCCAAGGATCCAGGTAAAGCTCAGCAAACTCGAAATCTTAGAAAAGGGCAAAATTATATGGCAAGCGACATTCTGTAAGGTCACACTTAAGAGCGTCCGAAGAAAATGAGGCAATTTCGCCTAATAGCAAAAATAATTGTATAAAGCGTCTTCCATTTTTTTTATAAGGCTTCAAGGAGCTCTGCATCAAAATGAAGCATCACAAATTTGCAAATTGCAACCGTAAATATAAATATAAAAATCAATAAAACATGAAAATAGTATTGTTAAATGGGGAGATGATAAGAACTGCGTAAAATTCTTATGATAAATGTCGTGATTGAACAATTTTTTTCATTCGCATGAACTGTTCACCATCATTGTGAAGAAAGTTAGCACAGTACCTTTGCATAGACAACGACCTCACGCCAGACTGGTTGGCCCCTGGAACTGTTTTTGTTGAGTATTGCCGTGGCTTTCTTTGATGCTCGGATGCTTCTTACGGTCCCGACGAAACACACGGCGTTGAAGCAGATACACGCCAGGATTGGTGCACAGAGTACGGCCAGTTTGAACGTGCCTGTCATCCAACAAGCAACATCGTCCCCATAGCTGAAATCAACGCGGGTACAATCGCAGAAAAACAAGACGACGTTCGGAATGACAACCAACATTGGAGAAAACCACCCGAGCAAAAACATACGAAGAAATTTACGCCCGTCGCTGTGCTTGGTGTGTGCTGGTTGGTTGGAGGAGAAGGTCTGCATGAAGTCCCATGAAACGGCTGCCATCCAGGCGAACATTGACAGCCAACCGTAGTGGGTGGCGACAGCTACTGCGCTGCAGAGGCCCTGATGAGAAGGTGTGATGACAACGCTGGACAGAGTGGACAAGAGCTGACCGAGGAAGATTGCCAAAGACAGATTAATTATGGCCAGGCCATGAACATTTCTCAGAGAAGAAAAGACGCAATAGGTCAGCAGGGTTGCCATGAGACCAGCCATAGAGAGACTGAATCCCACCACGTTGATGATAAGTTCTGGGTCAGAAAAAGGGTCCCAACTCGCCCACTGACTCGACTTGGGAAAGCATATAAGGTGCTCTCCATTGGGAAGAGTGAGTTCAGCTTCTTGATTCGATGTGTCATTTACATGCATGTCATTAGGATTTCGCACTTCACACATGAAATTGTTTGCTCTTTTGCCACAAAAACGGAGCAACTTCAATTTACTAGAATTTTCTGTGTGAACGATGTAACTTGTGGAATTAGATATGTCAGTAGGGGCCACGAGTTCGTTGGTATTCATAATGTAAACAAACAGATCTCCGTCAATAGTAACTGTTTTCCACTTTCCATCTCCTACAGAGAAGCATTCAATGTTGTCAAAGCTGTCGGGAAAGTGTGGCGCCAGGAGGCATTCATCTCTCAACACAACCTCGGAAAGATTGCAGCGATCTGCCCAGTTGGTTCTAGAGAGGTTACCATCCACTCGCAAGATACGATCCAAGATCTCTTCCATATTACTCATGTCAGAAGGAGTTGACACTAAGGGGAGGACGGTGTAGTTTAATCTCTCCCCACCGAGCTTCAAAACTAATCGTCGTTTCACTGGTGAAGAAGTAAGCGATGCCCGGCTGAGACTGGGCAGAGAAATTGCGCTGATGAGACATTCCATTAACCGCTGCTCAGAAATAATACCCCTCGACCCTTCTTGAGTATCCTGACCATTGACTTCTAAAAAATACTGCCTTTTATTACAGACAATCTCAGTATCTGGGCCAAAGGACTGAAAATGTTGATTGTTCACAACTCTTACTTTCAGTGGCTGAGAAATCAACGTTGTATGTAGAAAGTGCGCGGACGAGGACAGTGTTATTCTGAAGCAAACGCTTGAGTCTCTGGTTTGATTCACATTGTTCTGGCAAAGATTGCAATGAGGGTTTTTATGTTTCCCAACAGGTGCCATATAGCTCCTGCAAGCGTCTCTGACGCCATCCGAGCCCCCATTGTCGCACGAGCCAATGAGCTGGTTGCATGGCTGCAATTTACCGCCCAAATCGGGATCTACTATGGCAACGAATGCGGCGCTGTCATCAACTGGTACAAGACTTTGATTCTGAGCTATGCCATGACAGATTGCGCATTTGGGGTTCTTGAAAGGGATGTCCAGCGGACGATACAATACAGGCTGCAACTCGGATTGACATTGATGTCTGACGTCATCTTCCTTCCAGGCCCCCGGACAAGTGCTGATCAGTCGGTAGCTTGAAGCCCGACCAAATTCAACGCACTGATAGTAGTGAGACCTTGTGGAGAGGTTCAAAATGTTGTGGGACGCGTTTGTGTCTGCGTAGAAGATTGGGCAGTTGCTGTCGACGTCATAGCAACATTCTTGAAACACGTGACACATGATGTCACATCCACATTGGTCAGGGGATGACGGCTCTCCACATCGCCCCTCACAGGTCTGATTTGGGTAGAGACTCACTGTCGTGCCATTTATTGTTATATCTGCACAAAAATAAAAAAGGGTGTCGCGACGAAGCTGCTCTTAATCTTCTAAATTTTAGAATATCAGCTTATTTAGGAACTACTAAATTTCTGAGAATCACGTTGAATACATTAAAACACTTATATTAACATACTTAGTTAAACTTGAGCTATTTGTAATTGTAACTTCCT